CAAATAGCTTACCCTTGGTGCCAAATACATATTTTTCTCTTTCTTTTATTTTACAGTTGTAATTTTTTACAACATGTTTTTAACTGTCACAGTAAAAGTGACATAATTAAATATATTTTGAAATATGTTTAAATATGTTTTAAATATAGTTGGCAGAATTAATATATGAAGGCTGTGTCCTACAAGCTATTCCATGTTAAATTACAAAACAAAAACAGCATGGCCTAGAGCACCATTTTTCACACTAAAATGTGAAAAAGAATCACCTAATGATCTTATTAACAGGTAGATTCTTATTCAGAAGGTCTGGGGTGGAACTGGAGGGTCCACATTTCTACCAGGCTCCCAGATAAGATCACTGCTGGTCCTCACACTACACTTTGAGGAGGTAGGGCCTCACCGGTGTTCAGCCTGTGCATGAATGGCAAGTCAGTATAGGAGAAATAATGAATATAATGGAGCCCTAAGACATGGTAACTATCAAAATGGCGAGTACCACAAACTAGAGCAAATGGGATCATCACATTTCTATTTCAACCTTTAAAAATCAGTTTCTTAAATCCAAAATCAATATTAATTTTTTATAACAAATGTCCAGTTCATGTTTTTCAAAGAAGTTGATTCTTATTCACATGTTAGACATTCTACCATATAGAGCTGAATAAAATTCTGGTTGATATATTAAAAAAAAAAAAAAATCCGTAGTGTTTCAAATGTTTTTAGGAGGAAACAGGACAAGAAGAGAATACTCACTGAACATCTGGAAAGTTCCATTTATTCAAATGTTTCCTAACACCCAATGTATTCCAGCACTGCTTTGAGGCCTCAACATCCAGTTTCTTTTTTCTTTTAATTTATGTATGTTGGTTTGATTGATTCCTCATTTCTATTATTTTGGGGGACAATTATTATATAACTTGGGAAATTATTTGATTAGTGAATGAATCTGCATCATTTGAAGAAAATCCATCAGCTGTGATACTAGTTAAGAAAATATTTGAACATTCGTCAGTTTAATTGTTTTTTCTTTCCAGCTTATTTCCAGTTAAGAGTACTCCTCCCAGCATGGCATGTTTCACAATGATAATTTCTAAAATACTTCACAGTAAAGAAAAGGCCTAGTTTTTCCAAAGTTATTCCATTTTCATAGATTCTCACATTGCCTGTTGTCACATGTATGTCTCCTCAGCATAGTTTCTGGTTAAAACTAAAATTAACCAGTTATCTAATACACATAAAGAACTAGCTGAGTCACCACATCAGTACAACAACATTTAAGGTTTGTTTTCTAGGTCACAGGATTTACAGCCAAGTATACTAGTCTTCTATTGCTGCTGCAACAAATTAGCATAAATTTAGTGATTTAAACACAAATTTATTATTTTATACTTTTGGAGGTCAGAAGTCCAAAATGGGTCTCACTGGGCTAAAATCAAGGTGTCAGCAGAGCTATGTTCCTTCTGGAGGCTCTAGGGATAATTTATTTCCTCGCCCTTTCCAGCTTGGAGACACCTCCCACATTCCTTGACTCCTGGGCCCTTCCTCCATCTTCAAAGCCAGCAGTGTTGCACCTCTCTGGGACTTTATTCCTCCGTCACATCTTCCTCCAACTGACTCTTCTCCCCTGCCTCCCTCCACTTTTAAGAGACCTTGGGGTAACATGGATAATCTGAGCAAATCTCCCTACTTGAAGGTCAGTTGATTAGCAACTTTAATTACTTTGCCATGTAACCTAACATACTCACAGGTTCCAGGGATTAGGATGCAGACATGCTTTGGGAGCCTATTATTCTGCCTATCATGTGAAGACAGTATTCCATTTCCATTTACTTACTTGAATTTTCCTGAAGCACTTTTAGTTCTTTTACAGTTCTTCAATTCTAGGAAAAGAAGCTCTTGGGGAATAACAATAAGAGTATAAGATTACTGATAACAGTAATATATCAGTAATAGTTCAGTAATAATGTCCAGTATAAGATTACTGAACATTACTAATGTTCAAATATCTTCTTAACCAGTATCACAGCTGATGAATTTTCTTCAAATGATGCAGATTCATTCACTTATGCAATAACTTTCATTTCACTTTTTACCATGAGCTCTGATTCTACTGGGATGACTCTCATACTCAAAGTAAGGTATGGATATAGCTGGAACGGCCCCTGCCACATAACCATATGATCCTGGATACGTGTCGCCTGAGATTCCTGAGCTACATTCTGGTACACTGATGCCATGGATCATGGAATCAGACTGTGGCCACCAGGATAAATGTCCTGACTCTCTGTGATCCAAGTTGGCTAGGACAAGGGCCTTCTCACTGAAGTTTTGAGAAGCTAAACCCTCTTGCAAAATTGCTCTAATGAGCTTAGAATCATTAAAAATGTCCAAAGCACTAAGTAATAAAATTTATTCAGTTTTTTTTAACACAGAAAAATGAAAAGTTAAATGGGTAAATTATAGTGGCCTAATCTTTTCATACCAATAGTAGGGACTCACAGGCTGGTTGTTTTAACAGCTGTACAATGCTTAAGCTCCAAAGACTCTAAATCTCTAATAACAAAAAGAATAACACTTTGCATGAGTGTTTCTTTGAATATATTCTAGACATATTTTCTCACAGGAACCCTCAATTAAAGATTTATTATATTTTAATCAGAAGCCACAGAGATAAAAAGTTTGAATGATTGGCTGAAGGCCCTATACAAACTGAATTTAAATATGAAAGAGACAAAAATATATTTGTCATGATTATTTAAAAGAGGCAGGTCCAACCACTAAATGCTAAAATATAAAGTGTATGACAGTTTAAGCCGAGTCAGATTGGCTCTACTACCGTTTCACGTCACTCAAAGGTTATGAGAGGTACATCGTTTCTTGTGAGTCTTGTTTTATAACACACAGTAAGCAATGCCAATGTGAGTTGTCATTTCTCGCATGGGTTAACAATACCCTCAATTTCTACCGCTCTCACCTGCTAATCCCCTCCCCTGCGCCCCCAAAACTATATCTAATGCAAAGGTGCTTCTGAGAACTGTTCATAGTTTCTATGGTTCTGGTGGGGTTTCCATCCGTATTTCAGCTCAGTGCTGTTCCTTGACAACACTCAAATGGGCCAGCTCAAAGTGAGATCAGGTGAAATGGGATAAGGTAGTGATCCAAGAGAAATTTTGTTCACATAGCCAGTAAAAAAATTCTGAAAATCTATGCACATATTTTTTAAATAACATCTAAATATTTTTAACATAAGTTTGAACAGTTGAAAAGGGGACATGATTTCTAACACTCTGATACATATTTATCAGAACTTCAGGGCTGCAGGTTTCAGTCTCCGGAAGTCTGCTACATAACATAAAAGGTAGAGCCAATCCTCAATGACGACCCAATCAACTCAAGAAGACTTTCTGTCAAGATAAGTCTGACTTTGTTTTTCAATCAAATATGAAGATAGTTCTAGTGACAACTGTCTATCTTCTGAATCCTAAAAGGAACAGATAAATACAGCACAGAGCCTTGTCACGTGCTTGTCCCTTGGATGAACAGGGCAGAAGAAAGGAGAACTGGCAGGCAACACCCGTGTTCTGAGACAGATCAGTTTCAAGAAAGAGCTGGAAGTTGAGGAACTGAAAATTGAAACCCCTGAAACACTCTATGCCCTGGTCAGTCTTGGTGCCCAGTTTGGAAAGTGCTGGGGGAAAGGGCTTAAATTCTGCTCTGAAAGTATCTAACATGATACAAATTTAAAATGGCATTTCTATACAAAAACCTGCTGACTGCATATCTTTGAAGCATCCTAAGCCTTTGGAAGTATCTTAAAACAGGTGTCAAGTTCTCTTCATCAAAATGAAGGGTCAACAATTAGAGATTACAATCTTGCTTGTGTAGCCAACCTTGTGTATAACCTTGGACGGGCAGTTCTGGCGATCCAGGAATTGGTTCTACATTTTCTCTAGTCCTCAGAACTCCTCGCTTTTGTTTTAATTCTCTGTCCATACTTGCCCATCTTTTAGTGTATGTTTGGGCCAGTCTTTCACCCTGAAGTTCCTAGGTTCCACCCCATGTCCTTATTGGGTTTTATGCTCATGTGATACTTCTCCGTCCCTTTCAGTGCCAGAAGTGGATAAACTGTTAAAAAAACAAAACAAACAAACAAACAAAAACCCTCCAACTGCCAAGGCCATCATTGTGCCAACAGAGGAGCTGCTTATGCGAACTATTGCGAACTTTTACACGGGAAGATAGGGAAAGTATAAAGTCCACTGTGAATGCGTTTTGAAAAGCTCTCTCTTCTAATGCTTCTGGGGGGTGGGGGAAGGTTGGAGGTAAATTACTGACAATGGGCAAAAACAGATGCAAAGAAGACAACTTTATTAGGCGATTTCTCTTCTTTATGAGGAGCTTTCTTTCCTTTGTTAGGAGGACAGTCCTTTCAGAGGAAACACCAAGTAATTCGACAATACCCAGTTTCCTTCAGCTGCTGCGACTTGATCCCACGGTGGGTGCTCTGGAAAGCACCTTGGGGGCGAACGGGTCTGAGGCCGCTCATGACCAAGGTCGTTCGATCCAGTTGCTAAGTTGAGAATCTTCCCGTGCCACCTCTTAGAAGCAGGTGTGTGTTCCCCTCCAAAGAGCCCACCACCTGGCTGCGCCCCACCTCCACTCGTGCCCCAGCTACCAGATAACGTTGGGTGCTACAGAAGGTGCTGCTGCGGGGGCAGCCTGGCCTTCAGACGCAGTCACTGGGGATGAGGCTTGGACCGGCGTGGATGCTGGAGCACGCGCGCAGGTGCCGGCGCACCCACAAACACACCCGGGCTCGGAGTGAGGGGAGGACGGGGGAGGGGGAGGGGAGCGGCCTTACCAGATCAATGAAAGTCAGGAATTTCCAGCTCCCTCCGTAGGTCTGGTGCGAGGGCATTTCGATGGCCTTGTAGTTGCACAGGATAGAGCAGTAGGACAGCAGGATGGCCACCCGCAGCACCTGGCAAGGGACAAGCGCCATGTTCGCGAAAGGCCCGGACGGGCTCGGCGACGAGGAGGACTGGCGGCGCAGGGCTCTGGCGGGCGCCGTGGGAACTCCGGCCGCGGGCGGGGCGGGCGGGGGCCCTGGCGGGACGTGTCCCGCGGGACCGGCGCGACAGCGAGCGCGCGGGCAACCTCGCGGGCGAGCGGGCGGGGCGGGGCGGTGTGTGCGGGCACCGGCGGCTGTGGGGTGGGCGGCGTGGCGTCAGCTCTTTCGTCATCTACGTCATTCTGCTGCTGCCTTCGCGGGCCCCGGAGAGCTGGCCCGGGGCAGCCCTTCAGAGCCCCGGGAGCGGGTGGGCAGCCTCCGAGGACGACTGGGGCTCGGGGAGCGCGCGCCGAGTTCCGGGGACCGCGGCCAGAGGCAGCGGCCGGGCGGAGAGGGAGCGCGGCCCAGGGTGAGCGGGCGCGGGGCCGGGCGCGGGGGCCGGGCAACCCGCCCGGAAGGAGCGGACCCCGGGGTGGGCCAACGGTCCAGCTCGGGGACTTGCTGGCCAAGTGGCACCGGTGGAGGCGCGCATGTGGGGGATGCAAACCCGTGAAACGGGGCCCCCGAGTGACTTGCTTTATTTTGGACCCAACTGGAATTTTGGTGTTAGACTACTGTTAATCTCTATGAAATCCCCTTATTAATTCTATTCCAGTGGGTAGGCTGCCCTGCACTTTTCCACCGGGGGTTTATAAATATCCTATCAATATATAACAAGGCCGACTGTGAACTCTGGACAAGGGGTTTATAAATAAAACGTTGTAAAGAAAGAAGTGTCAGATAAGTTTCTGCTGCAAGATTACATTCAGTTCAAGAGCAGATCATCCTGAGTCTGGATGTAAAACCCGTTTGTGTAATTTAATACTAATCTTTTGAGGGTTAAACTGGTTTTGCCGTTTTCCTTATTTATTTTTTCCTACACTCCAATACCAGGGCTTAATGGAAGGAAAATAAATATAAACTGGATTCCCTCCACCTTCCAGTAAATGTTGTCACACTGAAGTTGCTTCATTCTGTGGGCAGCATCACATTTCAGCTAACAAGATGCAGGGTCAGATTATGAAAAGACAACATAGGTATTTCCTGTGGATCCATTTAAAACAGGTGTCCTCTGAAAATAGTCTCTTGAGTCACAGAATGTGGAGTGAGGGGGCAGGGAAAGCAGAGTGCAGAGTGTTAAGAGGTAAAGTAGCAACTCCTGAATTTTTCCAACCAATCTCTTAACCAAAATAAAGAAGCCCAGTAGATATTTTCTAATCGGGCTCATAATTATGCCAGTAGAAGTTAATGTCCTCCAAATCAAGATAATTCCAAGAAGATTCTACCAGCATAAAGCTATTCATTATTGATGATTTCTAGTTTTATCTTCATGTAAAAGTTGGGTGCATTTTTAAAAATTGTGTGTCCATGCTACAGGTTCATAAGATTGCAAAATTAAAAAGTAGATCTACTGAAGATCTAAGTCCTTAGTAAAGTTTTGAGTTCGTGTGATATCCTTAAAATTTGATATACCTTCCTACCTTACAATTTAGAAAATCATAAATAAGACTCCCTATCCCATCCTAGAAAAATATAAAAATATTCGTATAAAGCCATTTAAAATTTTATTCTGTACTCAATTTCTTTTTAAGTAACTATACCATTCAAAAAGTGTTTTGAACCTATTCTAATGGTTTGCTTTTGTTATTTTGTGATTTGCTAACCATAATAAGATAATGACTTTTGTGGGCTTTTTTAAAAAAAAAATGAAACATTTGCATAAACATTGACTCAAATATTTTATGAGAATGTCAGTCCACAATTTTTGGAACATCTTGCTGATTATTTATGAACACATCCAGGTTGCTCTTTTTGCTTTTTAGACCATATCTAGTAATCTTAGACATGTTTCACATGTCTCTGCGAAAAAAATATTAACCTACACAGAGACTGCATTTTTCTTAGTGTAAGTATTGCAGTACAGTATTGCACTTAAAACTTCACTCTGTGGAAGGTTATCCTTTTTTATGAACTATAATACATTAATCACTGATAAGTTTTACATGATTCCATATTTGAGTTAGAGAATACTGCTTTTCATTGTACACTGTACAGAAGAAATATCTGCATGTCACTTTTTTAGCTTTTTCATACTGCCCCACAATGAGTGGGGATGGAGGAGAATAGCCTTGTCCAGTTGAGTTTCATGAAAACATGTTTCCCAAGGGAAGAGTTTAAGACCGTGTTTTAGCTTCTAGTTATTATACATTAGTGTTTCTTTGATTATTGTTAATAGTTCTTAGTCTATATATGGGCTTAAGATATTCTTCCTTAAGTACTTCTAAAAACTGATACAGAATCTTCATTCTTTTTCTTTTTTTTTTGAAGGGGGAGAGCATCTAACATATTGGTGATGATAATCCCTACTAATTTTGGAAATGACAAGGACCCTCTGTCTCCCTTACATTGTATTCCAACAAGCCAACTTCATATAGCCATGGGTATTTGCTTACAAATTCAGGAGGAAGAATTGTGTTTATGCATATCCTTATAATATTCAATGTTTATGCATTTCCTTTGGTTCTGTGTTTACATTGGATAAGCATTTTCTAACAGTGTCAATGTATTTGAAAGGATTATTTTTCCCCCTTCACAGTTGTCTGCACCATAGGGTAGAAGATGGGATGTGTCCCTTTGAGAGGTTTGGGCTTGGGAAGAATCCCCTCGGTTTCGCAGAAAAGATACCTTTGGGTTGCTCATTTTTCTTTATTATAAAAGCAGCATATTTATGATATTAAAATAGGAAATTAAAAAAAATTACTCCCACTCTCACCACCCACAGAAAACACTGTTAACATTTTAGCACATACCTGCCAGTCTTTCTTACAATATATACTTAGTTGTGACATACCGTGTAACAATTTGCATCAAGCAGATTTTTTTTGCTTTAAATTTAATAAGTTACCTTATTATTTAAAACTCTTTGTAAAAATCATTTTTAATTGTTGCATAGCATGACATAATAGGGGCATAATTTTGCTTAAACTTTATTTTTGGATATTTAGTTTGTTTCCAGTTTTTAATCACTATAAATACACTGTAATGTCTGCATATTTAGTTGAGAAAGCCACTTTTTAGGGATTATTTGTAGCTCAAAAACCAGTTAAGAAACCATCCTTTTACAACCTAATGTGTGTATTTGTTCACATGTGTTTATTATGGACTGAGGTTCCAAGGAGAGCTCTTTTGCCCTAGAGAGCAGTTGGAAAGATTAAAAAGTGGGCAAAAATCATTCTTTTTCCCAATAATTGATGCTCACTACAGATATTTTTAATTGCTTTAGATATGAAACATAGTGCCAATACATTTCATTAGCCAGATTTTTTTGCTATTAACCAGGAAGGGTTGTTACTTACAGGGCAAATGAGCGGTGGCGACTAGCAGTTGTGCTGATGTTGCTGATTGCAACGGTTTTTTCAGGTTTAAAAATGGACTGAATTTGCTATAGAAAACTCTACTGGGACTTCCCTGGTGATGCAGTGGTTAAGACTCCACACTCCCAATGCAGGGGGCCCAGGTTCGATCCCTGGCCAGGGAGCTAGATCCCACATGCATGCTGCAACTAAGAGTTTGCATGCCACAACTAAAGGAGTCCATGTGCCGCAACTAAGGAGCCAGCGAGCTGCAACTAAGACCGAGTGCCACCAAATAAATAAATATAAATATATATAAATATATATATATATATAAAGAACCCTAAGTTATGAGATTTCTAAACACCAAGGATTCTAGACAGTCACTGAAAAGCTTTAGAAAAAGTAGTGCTGAGATTTGGTGTGAGGCACCGGCTGGATCTCAGACAGATCTGAAACATCCCCTTCACTCCTGAGATCTGTCAGTAACTTTGCCAAAGCTACTTGTCCTGCCAGGAATGCTCTCGGTGTGCACATATCCAGACCCAGCACATTGGGCAAGACTCAATGAAAGCCCACTTTGCCAGTCCCTCTTCGGGATGTAGGATGTCATCTTCCGGCTTTGAACAATCCACGTGGATGGCTTAGTGGCGATCCAAATTCTACCTGTACTCCCTATTTCCTTGTCAAAAACTGCCCCCTTTGCAGTGTCCGCGTTGTCTGGAAGCATCACAAGTGTGCTGTGTTAGAAGAGCCAGATGGCCTGGGGGTGCCAGTCACTTAATGGCACCAAAATATCCCTGGAAGTGTGGGAAATTGAAGGTAATCCACTTACCAGAATCATTCTCAGGGAGGAAACGTCTTCATAAACTGCTTCGGTGGATGGGTGACTGATGAGAGAGCCCTCCTAATGCGCTCTAGAATAATCGTAAATCATCGCTAAATTTCTTCTCCCCAGTGGGTGTCAGGGGAATTGCAGAGCTTTTGTTTTGCTGAGTAGACCGTATACAGGAGTTTGGGAGTAGAGCTCACTTGTTCAGGGGAGTAGAGAAGAGGCAGACCCCTACCACCAGGGGGTCTTGTTTCCCAACAGCCTTCAGCCTCTAAATAAATGTTCAACAGATAGTTTAAAGATATTTCAGAAGTCTTAAATCCAAATCCTTCAGAGACCAGGCATCTATATAATTCAGTCAAGCTAAATGTAAGATAACAGTGTAAAATTGAATCTTTGAAAAACTGGAGCAAATGCCCTATGTAGGCTCATTGTAGTTCAGATTTTTAAAAATTGTGTCAGCCAAAACAACAACGAGAACAACACCACCACACCTGTATGCTGGTGTCAGCTAGCAGGCTGCAGGGTGGGACTTTGGAAGAGTGCCATGTTAACATCCTACCCAGGGTGTCCAAAAAACCCTCTCAAGCCTGCTGGACTCTGCACATAGAAGAAGATAACAGACCCAAAAGGACGTTTGGAGTGTGCAGTGATGTGTCTGGGCCAAGCCACAATTCTGTGTAAAGTCGAAATCTGCTGAAAGGACTTCTGAGAAGTATTCCATTAGTACACCCCTCCCTATAGCCCTACCCCCATCCTTATTTTTCCTGTTTCACTGTGTACAGGATGACTGGAGCTTCAGTAGTCACCTTGTAAGCACGAAGAAAAGAATCATAGGATCCCAGAGTGCTTTGCCCTAACATCTATAACCTGCTGAACCCATGCCAGCAGTGGCCTCCTTCCAGGCTTCTTGTGATGTGAGAATAACCCCCTATTTGTTGAAAGCAATGTGGTCGGGTGTTCTGTTACACGCAGCTAAATGATGATACCAGGAGATACTTGGGGTGATTTCCCGGCAGGCTTCAAAAAAGTGCTGAGTCATAGGACAGTGGGATAGTGCTAAGGAAACCAGGGTTCAAGTGTATCTATTTTTTATTTAATAAACACCCATATAACACCTACTGTGGGCCAGGCTTTGATCTAAGCCCTTTACAAATATTAGCTCTTCTTATCCTCACTGAGAAT